AATTCTGATAAAGTAAATTTCACATTAGGTTTGTGTTAGGTGAACTGCGAGAAAGGTCGTTTTCTTAATGATTCGATTGAAGTACCTTTTCGATTGGATGTATCTCGCAATGTGCGACAAAGCAGAAGGTTTTCGTTGAAGTTAGAATTTCATGTATTCTATTTGTTGGTCTAAACTTAGTCAAACTTAATTATCAGCTATATTGTCGCTGAAATCATAGTGTGCATATTATCGCAGGTGTGAAAGACGTTTAGACGCGAGCATTCATTGAAATGTATGCTTATCAAGTTTTTGGTGAGATCTTAAGTGATTCCTGTGAAATGAATGCATCGAAATGTGCGAACGCCAATTTTCGCTTATTTGAGGAAGTTTTTCTTTATAGTACTATGAAAAGAACATGGAACATCGACAGTAGCCAGTTAAAAGAAGTAGGAGAAACTGGAACAGAATCATCATCATGCGTTTCGACGGATCATTCGTCTACTACGAAGATTCACAAACGCGAACCAAATCCTCCGAATCTCAGCAATCGATTATATTTCACAAAGGTTCATGTAACTTCATCATTTTGAATACTTATTCTGCGATAAATTCATTGATTCATTTCACTGTTACTTTAGCGATTTGATGAGATCAACAATTTGATTCACTCGAGGCAAAGATTTGTTTGAAGAATAGGAATTTCACTATGTTACTCTATTCACGAATGAATGGTGTATCAGTGAATTTCGAGCACAAATTTATCGAGCTTATTTTTTTCTTAAATTTAGATATCAGGTCATCCACACCGATTCAACACAAATGCATTGTCTTTGAGAGAATTGTTGGAAGCGATCTCTCCAGTAGCATCAATCCACTTCAATTTCATGGTCGATTTCCCGTGGTTGTTTGCGTCAGTTTTGCGTCACTAAATTAGTTGATCATATGGCTCTCCAACCACAATAACAACATCTTTTTCGTATTGTAATATGCAACAGTGATAATATCAGTTGCACGTTAGCGTCATTTTGAATTTCTTTTTGTGATTGCAGTCAATATCCGCGACGTTGCTCAATGTCACCGATGACCATAATTGTTGGTGAAAGTAACGGTACAAGTCAAGCTGAGATACGTGCTGATGCAAAGAAATGTGCGTTCGAGAATCTGAGCGTTGGACGTGCTCGACTACCGATTCCGTTCGGAACACATCACACGAAGTTGTCGATTTTCGAAAGTGATTCTGAACAGATTCACGTGATTATTTCCACTGCAAATTTACTGCAAAACGACTGGGAATCGAAAACACAAGCATTCTATCACTGCAAAGCGAACATTGTTAGTTGATGGCTCGTAGCAACTTGATTCAACGTGAATTACTCTCTGCGATCGATCCATCATTAATGTCAACCGATGTTCTGTAGAATTCTCGTTTAGACATCATTTGAAAGAATGAATATTCATATTATTTGTTGTAAACTTCAGCGGAATACGGAAGA